ATTCTAACAAATCTGAACGATATCCAAAAACAAGAGCACGAAGGGGCAGGACGAGTAGGGTTGAAATTCATCCTCGCGACAACACAAAATCCAAAAATCCTACAAAACCTTAAAATCCTTGAACAAGACGATAGCCTAAATACCGACGAAACCGATGACGAATGGAACGGAAGCAGGAAGACCTGGAGTTACTCAGGATGCTAGATCGTGGAGAGAGGACCAAGGTCCACGGATACGCGATTTCAATAGGCCGAAACCTAGACCGCGAACTAATATAATGCGTGGATCAAGAGCTCGGGACACCGAGTGCCTACTTGCGAAACTCTGAGATGATCCAAATCACCTCGCGGACTACCTCGCCGAGAGCGCAACGTAAGGTGGCGGGCGGCCCGGAGGCCGAGAGCGCGGGGACTGACCCACGTACACACGATCGAGCGTGTAACGGGCTCACTAGAGTAACTCCAAACATAGAGACCATTGCCAAAGAAAACATGGCTATCACCCAGAGAACGCTAGCCGAAGAGAGTATTGCTTTCACCCCACAAAGCGTAATCGAGGAGAGTAGAACCCCCTCGCCTAGAGAGGGCAAGAGCAATGCGGGGCATTGGAAGCGTATCAAGGGTTCAAGAGAGAGTTACCAGTGGTCCGCACTGGCAGCCAACCGAAGTAGTGACTAGTGAAGTGAAGTACTGCTAATAGAAGTAGTAGTGTCGACGCCCCCCACTCTCGACTACGGCTGGTTGGACTGTCGTATGCAGGAGGAACTTGTGAATACTGTGAAAGGACGGAATTGACAGTCTGTACCGGTTCCAAGGGAATCTTGCCGTAGTCTGGTGAGGACGAATTAAGCGCCTGGATCGGTTCGGGGGGATTTGGATCCTCTGACGTAGGATTCTGGGGGTTCGGGTGAGTGGTTCAGTTGGATGGGATGAATGCGAGGTTGGGCAACTTCATTCGAACTAAAGCTAGCTAAAAAAATCTGCCTCTTCAAAATCTATAAATTCTTCAAACCGGCTGCAAACATCATCCTGCATTTGCTAGTTACCACAAACTTTTCACGAATGAAAATCCTGGTGTTTGATTTGCAGGCTAAAACCGTGCAGAACACGATTTGTCAAATGCAGAAACCTTTAAAGCAACAATTAATGGATGGGGTCCTAGTTATGAAAGCCAATGTGGAACGGTTTGACCACAATTTTGAAATGCATGGTCCTATGGTCGACGGAATACCGGCGAAAGAAGCTAGTGAACGGTAAGGACGGTAGTCGTTAATGTTGATTTTGAGCTAAATATGAGTATCATTTATCATCATAATCAGTCTTATGCTAAACCTCTTTCATTTAGACTAATTCTTGCACAAGCTCGATTCGATGAGTTGTGGGAACAATATGAAACGTACAGTTCTGGTGAAAGTCTTTTTGGAATTGAAATAACCCAATACCCAGTACTTGACCATCGCAAAAAGGAGCTGAATTTATTACAAAAGTTATACAGTCTTTATGTTCAAGTCATGCGATCAATTGACGGTTATTATGACATTCAATGGAGAGGAATAGACTTGGAGAGCATCGCAAATGAACTCATAGAGTTTCAGAATAAGTAAAAATGATTTCCAAATTATTTGAATTGAATAACATATAATATACCATTTGTTATGGACACGAACTTTTTGACTTCTAGTTTAAAAATATTGTGATGTGTCGACCAAATTTTCTTCCTTGATTACTCTCTCGTTACTGTCTTCCCCTCTGCAAAATGCCCGATGCTATAGCCCTGTGGACCACAATCACGTACACGGTTTAAACTCCACAAAAGCTGTCCTTTAACATTAAAAAATTATAGTTTTTAAATTTTAGTGATTTTCAATTCAGGCCAAAATTTAAAAATTCAGTACTGAATTTCATTTTGAGTGTTAGAAGATTTCCCAATTGTCCAAAAATAATGATTGAATTGATCATAAATTCCGAAAATATTCCTTTTGTTGCTACCTGAAATTTTCATCAATTTCTGGACTATTCAATATATTCTTTCCACAGAGGATCGCTCAGAAAAATGTGAGCGAAATCTAATTACGTTCAGTTTCCCCAATCTCCGCAAAAATGGTAAATATGGCACCACTGGGGGACGTCAATAATTGTTTGCCTTTTCTCGGATTTTCTCGATACGTTTTCTAACAATTCACCAATTGAATTTCGGAAAAGATCTTTCTCAAATTCTCTACAAAATATTCCCAGAGGATTCCTGCCTTTCTATGTGCATTTTTCACAGGATTCATTCCAAATTATGGACCGTCTGTCACCGTGTAATTAATAATGTACTTACAGTGGAAGGCTTTACACAGCAAATTCCACGTTATTTTCCTCTCTCAATCTTTTGAGGCTCCTTATTTCTCCGGCTGCGAATCACTCCTCAACTGTCAGGTTGAGACCCAATTATTTTTTATTCCACTAATTCTACACTTATTGAACTAATTACTTATTCTATTTTTTACATTTTTTCCTTTTTCCTATTACCATTGTTACCATGGTTTGATAGGCGCCCCTTCGTCTTAGCCTTTTTAGCCTCTCCTACTATCCTCTCATTAGCCTCTCCTACTATCCTCTCATTAGCCTCTCCTACTATCCTCTCATTATTTTTGCGGTAGCATGGGCCGACTTTCTGTACTGCGCCCATTTGGCGTGTACTGAGGGAAACCATGTAAAA